CTAATTATAATTTATTATTTACATATTCATATTTTTGATTTTTAGATGATAATAAAATATTCAGTTTGGGATAAATTAAAGGCGTTGTCGGAATGTTCAGGAGCTCAGCTTTCAAATATGGCCAAATTGTTGATGCATTTATTCTTAGAAAAAGGTCTTCCAATTTCAACATTAAAAGTAAGCGTCCTTTAAAGTTTAAAAATTAATATTCTTATTGAATCATTATTGTTTAATTTGCTATATGTATTTATTTTCTTTTTTAAATAGATAATGCAATTTAGTGAACTTGATAAAATAACTCTCCGTTTTGTAAGACAAATACTTTTGGGTATTTTATTGTGCGAAGACTTAGAGCAGTGTCTTCAAGTATTTGAGAAGGTGTCCCAAGGAGAAAAATTGAAGTTGTTTAGAGAAAGCATCAGACTTTTTATAAAACACTTTTTGTTGAGGAATTTGAAGGTCAATAATGTTTCTGACGATCAGAAAAATCTCCTTGAAGAAAGAGCTAATCTAATTGATAAAATGTTAAGCCAACATGATAGAAAAATTCGATTCTAGCATTCTAGGTGTATATATGTATGTTGTATATATTTACCCATATTAATAGTAATACCAATCAATAAAATTGTTAAATTTTTAATATGTTTTGTTATTTTAATGTCACAGTTCGTTCCCTCGCAACTCTTCGATTGTTTAACTTATCCCATTAAAAAAGTACTCATATGATTAAAAAAATTTACTTTCGTTCATTCCTATTACTTACTCCACCACAAACTGGACCCACCATTAACGATCCGAATAACGAATTTTTATCCAAAGCAATTATTATTTTAGGAAGGTAATAACGGTTAGGTCAGTAATATTCTTTATAATTTCTGGAAACTTCCCGTTCCTTTTGTCGTGCAATTTAGTAAGATATTGTTTTTACTCCTACACTACGAATTACCGGAGTATAGGTGATTTTCTTTCGTTAGGTTAGGCTTGATTTTTGATTTGATGAATTGATAATGTTAGTCCAATAATTGTAACAACACTTAATAACTTTATTTACAAAGGAATATGAATATGGTACAAACAGTTGATTTTACATATTTGATAATTCTGGCAATGGGGGAGTGAAGTGAGCGTTATCGTTGCGTACAGATTAATAATCTCTCTTTAAAATGTTAATTCCTTTTTTAGTTTTCTTAACTGAGAAGTTAGAAGGGGATAAAGGTGTGGTCGAGATAAGTGAATTCAAATTTCAGGGGTAGTGGGCGGAGATAGTTTGATATTGTTAGAAAAGAATAGGAAAAGCGATATTAAGAAAAGACACATTCAAGCAAAAGTTGTTGTAAGAGAAATTGACGTTCGTAGAAGGGTATGAAAAGAGTAATAAAGCTATAATTAAGGACTTTCGAAATGAAAATGAAAAAGGGATAATTTGCCATGAAAATTTAATGGTAGTTTAAAAAACGCGTGACGGACGCAACAGATATATGGCCTGTGACTGCCGACTTTTGGATACATACGAAATATTCCGGAGGTATCGATTGCCTGCGGCATTCGTTCATAACAGTAGTAGTCTACTTTCATATTTTTGAATGTAATGATTTGTAGCAGCTAATTAGCTACTGCATTCTTTTAAGTGTGATTTTGTTTCAGACAGGTGACTCTTTTTTAAGGCAATACTGGTACCGTTTCTTCCTTCCTTTATTCAAGTTGTTAAAAAAATGATGAAACTGATGAACACCCGTACTCAGATTTTTCAGAGCGGGAAACCACAGGGAATTTATGGTGTACATCTTGTCGGAATTTCATGAGTTCTAGGGATTTACTTTTTAAATTGAGAAATTAATTTATTTCTGTTTGGTGTTAATTTCAATTCCATCTGTGTTTGCATTACATTTCTTGACGAGAATGTCGCATCAGTAGTTCCTCTCCCTTTTCGAAATTCAAACTTTTTTTTCTTAAAATGTTCTTCATTTCAATTTTCCTTTCTAACCCAATTTTAATTATATCTGTATATACATATCTTATACCCCGTATTCATTATCATTCCTTTATAATTATAGGAATTACAGGGATTCATGGGAAGTACCGCAGAATTAATGGAATTTACAAAAGTATATGGGGATTTATCTAAAGAAATAGAAATAATTTATGTATTATGGGGATTATTTCCGTAAAAAGGATTCATGGTGTACACTTCATTTTCGTCAGCGGTTTCCCCCCCTCGGACTTTTTTAATCAAATAAATTTGTTTACGGCCATACTGATTATTCTTAGACGCCAACGTTACACTTACACCTACAAATAATGTCATGGGAGTGAAACGTAAACGATGCACACAAAATAATTACAATAACTCGTCTCATTAAGAAGCAATTCTATTACATGCTAATAAAATTACATTTACTTTATTTAATGCCATAAAAAATTCTAATAACTTTCGGCTCCTGTGGGAGATATAATACAAATAATATAATAATTTTTGTGCATTAAAATATTATGAAATCGACAATTTTGACAATAACTAAATAGTTATGAGTGGAAGATCCGTTGAAGCGTATGACTAAACAGAGAGAAAGAGCCTAAAAGTGTTAATGGTCCAATGCACTTAGTAAATGACTCAAAAATTTCGGATACATGTATTCTTTTGTTTACTAATCATTCGAAAGGGTATTCGGAGGAGACCTTAACTCTAATTTGCGTATTTTCAAGATTGCTCGATCAGCCACTATCTTGAATTCTTTGTTATTACATCAAAAGTTCATCGCATCGTATGTATCGCAACAAAGAAGAACAAAACAAAATAAATGTAGCTTTTATTTCAAAAACGTAGGGTAAATTTTAGGAATGTGTCGTTAATTTAACAATCCACAATTTGTATGTTTTGTGACAAATAAATAACGCCAATAAACCTTCATACATGTCGCTAAAAATGTGAATCTAGGAAAAGATCGAATGCGACTTATGCTGTCCTAATATCAACGCCAAAATTTTCGGTTATATTCAAAATTCAGCTTTTTGTATTGGGAGAGCAAAAGCCGCATGAGGTCTTTTTCTTTGGATTTACACTTTTACTAACAGTGTAGCATCAACTTTTTATAGTAGTTTTTGTTCTAATATACACAGCAGTTTAGCACCAAATCGTACGATGACGCTAGTGGTAGCAAAAGATTGAATTGTCAAGAGCATAAATTATATTTGTGAGCAATTAATAATATTGTTTTTTTTTGATGAAATTTATTTAGTTCGTAATTTAATTTAATCGTAATTGTTCCATCAAACATTCGTTTTAATAGAAAGTTGTGTTTCTTTATTATAATTAATTCATAAACTGCGTATTAGTATTTTAACATTATATTTGGGACAAAAAACTCTCCTTACCCTCTGTGGCCTCAATATCTTCTCCTATAGTCACCCAATTAGCCCAAATGAGAATGTTAACCAATATAACCAATAATGTTTTGACGATTACGCCAAACGATCAATTTAGAAAGATTTCATTAATTTTAAGCCTAAAAATAGGTTACGATTATATTAACATAACATTTTATAAAGTAAAAGAAAAAGATACTTGTAAAGAAAACAAACGAAATTTTAAAAATTATCAATAAAAGGAAAAATGCGTCTTTAGTCTTCTCACCATATTAACTGAAAGCGAAAAGAGCATATTAACAGGACTAACAGCAAATAGATTTGGTAGAGAAGATCGAATAGATTTCGATAAAGTAAACTGAGTAGACATGAAATTTGATATTTGCACTCATTTGAGGAAAATGTTATTTAGTGTTTAATACAATGAAAGGGCATTTAAAATTTTTAATGTGTAGGATTCAACGTATGCCCGAAACTATTGAAGTCAGAAACCTCAAATTTGGACAGTCGAGTTAGATGCTCCAAACAATCTTAAATATTTTATATGTAATAATGAGGGTCTTGGAACGCACAAACCAGACACACACAATATTGTTGAAAATATGTCTGTAATTCTCCAACGTTTCGTTTACACTTCCCGAACCTTTTCCATGCATGCTAAAATTTTTAAAACACAAATGTATAAACCACAAATAACAGTGATTTTTTCGTTTTCGTATTTTATATAAAGACAAAATTTAAATTAAGTAAATTACCTGATTAAAAAAATTTATATCAGATAACGAGGACAATCCTTCTCAAGTTGCTAGTCTGCTGACTTTAACAATAGCAAACTAATGCTAAAAATATCCGCAGAGAACTGCAATAACGCGAAACAAAGGGACGAATGGTACCTTGTTTAAGAATTTTTTGGATTTGTTTGTTAACTTCCTCTTTATGGATATCAGGAAATCTATATATTTTAGAATTTATAGGAGTTGGATCAGTTACGTTAATCTNCACCATATTCATAAATTTGAATAGAAATTCATTCAATAAATTGTCAAAAAATTCAACTGAATTATTACTTTTAGAACAACGAAAGAAAGTACATTCCACCGGCAGTAAGGGCCAAATTAGAAGCTGATGCAACTGGAGGTAAAAATCAAGAAAAACTAAACAGGCTAAAACGTGAACTCAAAGGTAACAAAAGATTCTTTAATAAATATAAGAGACACTAAATTAGATAATAAAAATTGCAGGACTTATTAACAGACTGGCAGAAGCAAATATGCATAAAATAGCTGTTAAAATTGAGCAACTTTATATGGCGAATAGTAGAAATGATATGAATCATACTTTAACTAATTTAATATTTGAAGCATTATTATCGCCAGTATTGACCCCAGAACGATTTGTTATCGAACATATAATGTTAATAACCATTTTACATGCCAACATCGGTGTTGAAGTGGGTAAGTTATCCATTATTTATGCATGACATTGAATAATAGATTACAGAAAATTAAATAAAAGGAAGTATGAATATAGACTCGTACTAGTACATTTCTTTTTTTTTTAATTGTAAACTCATTAAACGTACTATTTACACAAAAAATAATAACCTTCCATTTTAAAGAAACATTATTCACTTTGGAAGTGGATTGTTTGCACGTAAAATTACAGATTTCTGTTATTGCTACAATAGTCTAGCCGACACACTCGGAAGAAAGTCACGGAGATAGCCGAACGTCGAATGAAAATGTAGGACATTACCTATATAGCAAAAACAGTTAAAATAAAAAAAAATTCTAGGGCAGCCAAAACCTTACTAAATCCATCAATACTATGTGTACATCGTATCTGCATACGTATGCCCCCCTTTTGTAACATAATTTTGTGTTCGGCTGCATTCGTCACGCCGTTAGATATAACAGCTAGACTCTCGTAAAGTAACCACAAAAAAATTGTTCTCTCAGCCAAAACTAGTGCATCTCTAAAATATGTATGCCTGTTTGTTTATATTGCTAATTACAGGTGTTTATTTTGTTGATTGTAAATGACTATTGTATATTAAACAACTTTTGTTACCGTAAACAAATCGATAGTGTGTTTTAGTTCACATTATGGAGTGTCTATTCAATACTGTATTGAAGAGTAACGTAAAATAATCGACTTTTACATTAGAATTCCCTAAATAAGCCAATCGGCATCAAAGCTATACATACTGGATTCATACTTGTTAAGATGGGAAGCAGTTTTAAAAAACAACGGTTTGCTAATGAAGAATTACAAAATCTACATTAAGCATTGGTTTAAAAGAAAAAATATATTTTTATTCTTCATTAATTTGATTTAAGAACTCTCTATCATCTGTAAGTTTCGAAGTAACTATAAATAGTTGACAGCGGATACTTAAAGTCGATAAAATTACAATGAATGCGATCACGTAAAATTCTGTGTTCGCTTGTGTAATGTACCTACTGACGAGCACCCACTGGTTTAAATAAAACGTTTAAATTGATTTAACATTTTTTTATTGAATAATCTACAAAATAAACTGATTAGTGATCACATATTATTTTTATAACAGTTTAACATATTTTTGGTTTTCTTTTTGCCAACTTGTGTAACTTAAGGTTTTTTTAGGTGCACATTTTTTGCAATGCTTGGTTAAAAAATTTGATGAAGTTTATGACGCTGACGAACCCGCCGACAATAAAATCTTAGAAAATATTGTTCAAACGTTATCACATTTATACAATTTTAGGGTAAAAATTGTAACTTATTGATTGTTTATTATTTTTATTTAATAATTTGTAGGTATTTGATGCCAATTTACTTTATGAAATATTGGAAAAATTAAACACACGATTTACTGAAAGAGATATAGAATGTATTTTGCTGGCTCTTAAAAGTGTAGGATTCAGTCTTAGAAAAGATAGTCCTCTAAATTTAAAAAATCTTATAGTGAACATTCAAAAACAGGCTGCTAATAATAGTGAAATGTCTAAAGACGAGTAAGTGTTAATTTATATCTGAAATCATGTAATTTTTAATTACCATTTTTATTTTTTTTTATATACATATTTAAAATTTTCAGTAGTTATGTTGCATTATATTATAGAACATTAGTGTCGTTAACATGTCCAAAAAGTAATTGTATTTTGAATGTAGATTTTTTTTTATACAATAGTAATTTTTAATAATTAAATTTTGTACTGGAAAGGGCCATAGCCTATTTTCTTAACTGAATTTGGAAATGTATTACTACTTCAATGATATTTTCTAAACGATAAAAAAACGATGTATATAAATCCTTATTTTTAAGAAAAGGTTTTGTAATTTAATGTTCCTTTATTAATTCTTTAGCCCTCGTGTTAAATTTATGTTGGACATCCTCATGGCAATTAAGAACAATAATATGACCAAAATACCAAACTATGATCCAACGTATGCCGAACATTTAAAAAAATTACTCAAAAATTTCGTTCGAAAAGGTCTTTATGTGTTTTCTCTAAATATTAGTTTGGAAGATTTACTTAAAGGTAAATTTAAAGGAATATACATAATAGAAAAGTATCATTTCTTTTTTACTAAAATTTTAGCTGACGAACGAGGTAAATGGTGGATCGTGGGATCCGCATGGACAGGTAAGGAAACGGGTAGTGTCGCAAATAATCAACAGAAAGTGCAAACGAATTTATTTTCGCAAAAGCTCCTCGACCTCGCCAGGAAACAAAGGATGAATACCGATACAAGAAGAAATATATTTTGCATATTAATGTCTGCTGAAGTATGAGTGACAGAAATGTTGTTATTTATTAATTTTACCCACAATAATTTTAGGATTATTTGGACGCGTTTGAGAAACTTTTACATTTAGGCTTAAAAAATCAGCAGGAGCGAGAAATTATTCACGTGATAGTGCACTGTTGTTTACAAGAAAAAAGTTTCAATCCATACTATGCTCATTTGGCTCAAAAGTTTTGCGACTATGATAGAAGATTTCAGGTAGGTACCTACCTAATTATAATTTATTATTTACATATTCATATTTTTGATTTTTAGATGATAATAAAATATTCAGTTTGGGATAAATTAAAGGCGTTGTCGGAATGTTCAGGAGCTCAGCTTTCAAATATGGCCAAATTGTTGATGCATTTATTCTTAGAAAAAGGTCTTCCAATTTCAACATTAAAAGTAAGCGTCCTTTAAAGTTTAAAAATTAATATTCTTATTGAATCATTATTGTTTAATTTGCTATATGTATTTATTTTCTTTTTTAAATAGATAATGCAATTTAGTGAACTTGATAAAATAACTCTCCGTTTTGTAAGACAAATACTTTTGGGTATTTTATTGTGCGAAGACTTAGAGCAGTGTCTTCAAGTATTTGAGAAGGTGTCCCAAGGAGAAAAATTGAAGTTGTTTAGAGAAAGCATCAGACTTTTTATAAAACACTTTTTGTTGAGGAATTTGAAGGTCAATAATGTTTCTGACGATCAGAAAAATCTCCTTGAAGAAAGAGCTAATCTAATTGATAAAATGTTAAGCCAACATGATAGAAAAATTCGATTCTAGCATTCTAGGTGTATATATGTATGTTGTATATATTTACCCATATTAATAGTAATACCAATCAATAAAATTGTTNGAGGACTTTTCCTCTATCATTTACCTTAAAAATAGCCTTAGCCAGATAAACTCCATCACAAATAGTGATTTCAGGACAAATTCCCTGTTTAACCTCACTGTTAGCTATTTCAATTTCTATTAAGGTTTCTGAACGAGGATTAAGTAAACAAGTGTGTGAATTGTTTGGATTTGAGTTAGTGTGTAAAGGAATCGGGAAAGGCAAAGATTTAATTTTTAGTTCTGCTTTATTATAGTTAATTTCGGCATGTTCTTGCTTAAGAAAATCGATTCCAATGAGACCATCAAACGGAATGTTTGCTTCCTTTTTGATAATAAGAAATGTAGCATTAAAATTTTTATTTTAAATTTCCAAATTTAGTAAAATGCTACCAATTGTTTGAACAGCCGAATTTATGCTCAATCCGTTCAAAGTAAGAACTTCAGAACTTGATTTTGTAACTTTTAATTTTGGCAGTTTAATTAAAGAAACGTTTGCACCTGTATCGACTAAAAACTTATATTCAATAACTTGATAAAAGACTTTAATATAAGCAGAATTTTCTTTAGCCAGAAAGATTTTAATTGGAGTTTCATCGCATGAATTTAACGTAGAAATTGATTGTGACGTGTAATTAGAAAAAGAATCAGGGAGTTGGGATGATAAATTTAATTTTGGGTAGTGTTCTGAATCACTTACGCCATTTGAATGTCGATTTCTACAGGTGAGGCGTCCACCTGCGGTAGTGCGGAGTTTAAATTAACATTTCTGGGAGTATTAGTTACAGAATTTCGATTTTGATTAGTGTTAGAAATGTTTTCGTTTTTTAGTTTGGTATTATAATCTCGTTTGCGACACTCGTCAATAAGATGACAGAAATTACTTGATTTGACATAATTTCGTTTAAATTCGACATTAGAGATTTATAATGCTCTTTATTCTTCAATGGCTTTTGAGATTGCTGTTGAAAGATTGTCTAAATTTTGGGATCGTAAAAATCTAGATATTTCTGGGGTCGAATGATGGATAAACCTACTAAGAGCAAGCTCGTGAACGGTCTTAATTTTACTACACCTTTTCGTTTTCGTTTCTAACAGGTGTCGTACTAAGGTTTACGGTTTTATCGAGGCGTTCATGAAAATAAGCAACTGATTCATTAGTACCTTGTTTTAGGGTGTTTAACTCTTTCACGAGTTGGATGTAATGCTTTTTGTACTGAAAATAAGTACACAGTATCTCTTTTAGTTGATTCCAATTTACATAAGTTTTGCCATGAAGTAAATTTCTAACATTACCAGTTAATCTTGAAATTATGAAAGCAAGTAACGCGTGTTGTTGAGTTTCGTTAGCTAAAGAAACGGCATTACTACAATTAGTTAAGAATTCGTTAAAATCTTGTCTTTTCCCATCAAACGATTTTGGAATTAGTGAGCATAAGAATTGTAAAGAAAGTTGTTCTGTGTTTGAAGGAATTTGATTATTAAAATTTGTTAAATGAGTTGGATTTTGACCATTAGAGTTTGTTGAATTGGTTGGATTTTGAGGTTCCATATTTTAATTTGATTTGAAAAACCAATGTCAGCGAGTAAATATATATATATATATGGGAACAGGAAGTAGAAAGGAGTTACAGAGGTTTTTGGATACTAAGTACAACCAAAACCAATCAAAGTCGACAAAAGAACGTGCAACTTACTTGTAAAACAGTACAGCAGACGGAAAAAAAACTCTTGTTGCGTCCAACAGTTGTCCTTCGCTGATTCCTGTTGTTGTCCAGGCGTTGAGGAAATTGTTCGAAGAGTTGAAACTCACCAAGTCGAGAAACGAATACACTTTTCCCAACAATGTAACAAATTTATCCCACTTCTGACACCAAAATTTTAATGTCAGGGCTTCTGACACCAGGCAGTCTTTTCTATGTGTTTGCCGACACAATAACAATTCCTTAATAATAAAAGGGGCGAGCGAAGTAAGTTAAACTAATTTATTTGTCCCTTACTTTGGTACAGTGATGGTTGTACAATGTTAAAATTAGAGGTTCTGATTAAGTGAAGGTCTAAACTGCAACTGACTGATTGACTGACTTGAGTATGTTTTTAAATATACAACTGTTTTTACCCCCAAGATGCTTTTAGACATTTTTTACTTACGGTATTCGTTGAGACATAGAAAAATAAGGTTGAGAAGTGAAACTGCAATAAATCTATCAATAATGAATTTTGAAACTGAAATGGATATGTAAAAGAATCTTGAGTTTTCTCACAAGCGATAAACTAGAGGTTTTAAGTACACAGATGACAGAAACAAGCGAACAGCAATAGAATGAAATATGAGAAAAGGGGTGATTTTAAGCTAGACCAGGCTACAAATTAATGACACAAAAAAATGGAAAACGAAATGAATACAAGTTACAAGAAATATGATATAAGGTTAAGATTAGTGTTATTTGAAAGAAGTTATTGAAAAGTGCACTTTTAACATTAGATACATAACTTTGGTATTAAATAACATGGACCAGTGATAAAATATGAGAGGTATCTAACA